CCCCACCGGGACCCCTCCCCAAATTTCGGGGTTAAAGGGGTCACTTGTGCCCACAGAGTTTTGGGGGGGCATTGTCAGGTCTGGGTGTTCTGGGGTTTTTTTTTTTTTGTTCTTCCAGTAGGAGGTGAGAGACCCCCCCAGCACCCCCTCCCCACAATTTGGAGACCCCTCCCCAAATTTCGGGGCTCTCAGGGTTAAAGGTTGAGTGGTCACTTGGGGATCCCTCTGTGGAGATACTGGTCCCACTTTGGGGGTCCCAGGGGTCTCTGGGGTCCCGGGGGGGTGTCGCAGTTTGGGGGTCCCGGGGGTCCCAGTTTGGGGGTCCCAGGGGTCTCTGAGGTCTCAGGGTTGATGTCCCAGTTCGGGGGTCCCAGGGGTCTCTGGGGTCCCGGGGGGGTGTCGCAGTTTGGGGGTCCCGGGGGGGTCTCGGGGGTCCCAGTTCGGGGGTCCCACAGCCCCTCCTGACATTCAGGTGATGCTGACGCTGGTCCCAGTTTGGGGGTCTCTGGGGTCTCAGGGTTGATGTCGCAGTTTGGGGGTCCCGAGGGGGTCCCGGGGGGGTCTCGGGGGTCCCAGTTCGGGGGTCTCACGGCCCCTGCCGCCCCCAGGGGATGCTGACGCTGGTGCTGAGCTGCATTGACCGCCTGAGCGCTTACAGCACCGCCGCCCAGTTCGGGGAGGCCGCGGGGGAGGAGGCGGCGGCCGCCTGGAAGGAGATCGTCAACCTGCTCTACGAGCTGCTGGGTGCGCCTGTGGGGCAGCTGTGGGGCAGATACGGGGTGCTATGGGGCAGATACGGGGTGCTATGGGGTAAATATGGGGTGCTATGAGGCAGATATGGGGTTCTATGGGGTGCTATGGGGCAGGTATGGGGCAGATCTGAGGTGCTGTGGGGTAGATATGGGGTGCTATGGGGCAGATATGGGGTGTTATGGGGTGCTGTGAGGCAGATATGGGGTCTCTATGGGATCAAGGTTGTCTGTGGGGCAGGTGTGGGGTCTCTATGGGGTCAGAGGTGTGCTATGGGGCAGAGCTGTGGGTCTGTGCCCCCCCCCGTGCCCCCCCAGCCTCGCTGATCCGGGGGAACCAAGGGACACACGGGGCGTCTGTGGGATCAGGGGTCTCTGTGGGGCAGGTGTGGGGTCTCTATGGGGCCAGAGGTGTGCTATGGGGCAGAGCTGTGGGTCTCTGACCCCCCCCGTGCCCCCCCAGCCTCGCTGATCCGGGGGAACCGAGCCAACTGTGCCCTGTTCTCCACCAACCTGGACTGGCTCGTCAGCAAACTGGACCGGCTGGAGGCCTCCTCGGGTCAGTGGGGCAGCCCTGGGGGTCCTGTGGGGCTGGGGAGGGTCTCTATGGGTCAGCCCTGGGGGTCCTCAGGGTCTGGGGTCCCTCCTGGGAGTCTGAGGTCTCTCCCATGGGTCTGGGGTCTCTCAGGCATCCTGGAGATTCTGTGGTTCTGATTCCCCTGCCGTGGGTCTGGGGTCTCTCCCGTGGGTCTGGGGTCCCTGCTATGGGTCTGGGGTCTCTCCCGTGGGTCTGGGGTCCCTGCCATGGGTCAGGGGTCTCTGCTATGGGTCTGGGGTCTCAGGCATCCTGGAGGTTCTGTGGTTCTCATCCCCCTGCCATGGGTCAGGGGTCTCTCCCATGGGTCAGGGGTCCCTGCTATGGGTCTGGGGTCCCTGCCGTGGGTCTGGGGTCCCTGCCATGGGTCAGGGGTCCCTGCCATGGGTCTGGGGTCTCAGGCATCCTGGAGGTTCTGTACTGCGTGCTGATCGAGAGCCCCGAGGTGCTCAACATCATCCAGGAGAATCACATCAAATCCATCATCTCCCTGCTGGACAAGCACGGCCGCAACCACAAGGTCAGCACGTGTGCCCAGGTGTGCCCAGGTGTGTGCCCAGGTGTGTGCCCAGGTGCCCCAAAGTGCCCCCAAGGTGCCTCTGTCTCCCCCCAGGTTTCCCCCCAGATGTTTCAGCTTCCCCCAGCTGTGCCCAGGTGCCCCAAAACGCCTCTCAGGTGTCTCAAGGTGCCCCAAAGTGCCCCCAAGGTGCTTCCATCTCCCCGCAGGAACCCCCCAGGTTTCCCCCAGGTGTGCCCAGGTGCCTCAAGGTGCCCCAAAGTGCCCCCAAGGTGCTTCCATCTCCCCGCAGGAACCCCCCAGATTCCCCCCAGGTGTGCCCAGGTGTCTCAAGGTACCCCAAAGTGCCCCCAAGGTGCTTCCATCTCCCCGCAGGAACCCCCCAGGTTCCCCCCAGGTGTCTCAAGGTGCCCCAAAGTGCCCCCAAGGTGCTTCCATCTCCCCCCAGGTTCCCCCCAGGTGTGCCCGGGTGCCCCAAAACGCCCTCCAAACGCCTCCCAGGTGTGCCCAGGTGCCCTCCAAACGCCTCCCAGGTGCGCCCAGGTGCGCCCAGGTGCGCTCAGGGCTGTGTCCCGCGCAGGTGCTGGACGTGCTGTGCTCGCTGTGCGTGTGTAACGCCGTGGCCGTGCGCTCCAACCAGAACCTGATCACCGAGAACCTCCTGCCCCGCCGCGACCTGCTGCTGCAGACCGCCATGGTCAACTACGTCACCAGG